TGCAACTTGGGCACATCCTTCGATTGACTTTCAGCACCCTTGGAATGCAACTTGGGCACATCCTTCGATTGACTTTCAGCACCCTTCGAATGCAATTTGGGCATGTCCTTCGATTGACTTTCAGCACCTTTCGAATGCAGCTTGGGCATGTCCTTCGATTGACTCTAAGCCTCCTTCGAATGCAACTTGGGTACATCCTTCGTTTGGATTTGAAACCTCCTTCATGTTGGCCACACATGCCCCTGCAAGGAAACCTTTTCGATTCACCAAGTTTGCTGCCTGCAAGCCTACTTTGATTTGGACAAGTTTACTGCCTGCAAACATGCTTCGATTGGGCAACATTGCTTCCTTCGAACACGGACTTTCGATTGGGCAATATGTTTGTTTCGATCCACATGCTTCGATTGGGCAACATTGCTTCCTTCAGTCACAGGCTTCGATTTAGCAAAGCTTCAATTGGGCAATACAGTCTCCCTTCAGTCACAAGCTTCGATTTGGAAATATAGTCTCCTTTAGTCACAAGCTTCGATTAGGCAATACAGTCTCCCTTCAGTCACAAGCTTCGATTTGGCCATGTAGTTTCCTTCGAAGTGACCCCCTTTGATCCACAAGCTGGACATGTGATTTCCTTCAAGGTGGCCTCCTTCGATTCACAAGTTGGACCACTAAACCCTTCGAAGCAACGTACTTAGAGCACACATTGTTTGGAAACGAACTTTTTTGTGTAATCATGAAGCTGGTCGAAATGATCAAAACGAAAGGGAGAAGTATTCAAGGAGTTTGTTGGCTAAAGTCCCATATACTGCCAAACTCAAGCCAGTTGTGCTGCTATGCAACAGTCCTGCACCAACCTTCCACTAAGCTCCAAAATACTGATAAGCCTGCATTGTCTCAGTCCTGTACTTGCACAAAAAAGGAGTGCACAAGAGCTGCATTGAAGAAAATAAGGGGGCAATATACCCAAATAATTCAAATATTATTTGATTTCCCCCTAAAACCATATCAAAGCTCGCCTATAAATAAAGAGGCTCCAACACATATTTTTTAAGGAGTATTTTTGGACCAGACGAACCCCTCCCAAATTTTCTCAAACACAGTAAAACTCTCAAAGTTCATAAACACTGTAGAAATCAAAAAAAAATCCAGAGGATTTTTTGGACTAGAGGAACGAAACCTCCAAAATCTTCTCAAACACAACAACAAAACTCTCAAGTTCATTAACACTTGAGAAATAAAAAAAAACAGAAACGTTCACCTATTTTGATTATGAAGAATCCACACACTTCAATCTCCTTCGATTCTGAAGAACACCCCACACATAGTTGTTTTATTCAAACTCAGAAAGACAACCCATGTGACTACTCTTCGATTCCAGTTTGGAAAGAAACATAAGACTTGTTTCTTTCCTTCCTTCGAATCCAGCATTCCCAGCACAATTGTTGGCCCCCTCTGTCAAATCCAGAACCTTGGACCTCCACTCAAGGTCCCACACCCATTCAACGCCTCCATCACGGTAAGTCACTCTTACCCTTGAACTTTTCGTTCCATGGCATAACATGTAAATAATATCTTTGTTCGTTTCAAGCATGTATATACTATTGTTCCTTTCGTTTCCACCCTGTTAACATGTTTTTAAAAGTTAACCCTTTCGTTTTGCTTTCTGTTTACCTGAACTAGCTTTAATTATTAAACTGTTTGAAAGATAAATACTAGCATGGCCTCAGGCCATGTTGCCATTTAATGCTATAATGAAAGAAACAGGAGACAGGAGTATGAAACGAAGCCTTTGGTTTCCATGCTGACTTCCAGGCCCAGCCAGAGACACGCTTACACTGACTTCCAGGCCCCAGTCGAAGGATACAACTTGCTGCTGCCAAAGCCCAATCGAAGGACAGGACTTCGCCTCTGCCAAGGCCCAATCGAAAGACGTGACTTTGCTTTGTACAAATGCTAGTAATTAGGCAAGATAAAATCAACAAGTAAACAAATCAAAAATCTAAAAAAAACACTCTTTAATCACTACTTGAATTTATTTTAAAACCCGCAAAACACTCAACAAATCAAAACTTCCCCAAAGGGCATGTTATCTCCGTTCTACCGCGATACCGGCCGTGCCTATTGCTAGAACGCGTGCGTTAACGTTGCCCACTAAAAAACACAAAAAAAAACAACCATTTTCTAGGAGGAACTACGTTGTTCTGATTCCTTCATTGGATACGTAGGCAAAGGGTCGCGAAACCCTCACGAATCCAATAATCAAAAACCATCCATTTCCCTTTAGAAAGCATAGTTGTATATAAACACACCCTTTAAGACAAACAAACAAAATGGATCCCGTTGAGTACAACGGATGTGAGGGGTGCTAATACCTTCCCCTCGCATAACCGACTCCCTTACCCTTTCTCTTGGTCGCAAGACCATCTTATCCATTCCCTTGTGGTTTTATCGATATTTCCCCTTCCTTCGGGATAAATAAAGTTCGGTGGCGACTCTTGCTTATTTGTGAGTCAAGTTAATCAATAGCTTGATCTCTGATTTTCACCGCTACAGTAACGGTAAGGCGGTGGAGCCAGAAAACATACCTATTGAAGTGTGGCAAGTTCTTGGATATAGAGGTATTGAGTGGCTCACTAAAATATTTAATGAAACTATGAGGTCAAAACGCATGTCGGATGAATAGAGGAGAAGCACTTTAGTTCCTATCTATAAGAATAAAGGGGATATACAAAATTGTGGAATTTATAGGGGAGTCAAGCTTATGAGTCATACCATGAAATTATGGGAAAGAGTGATTGAACAGAGATTAAGAAAAGAGACTCAAGTTACTGAGAATCAATTTGGTTTTATGCCAGGAAGGTCGATCATGGAAGCGATTTATCTATTATAGCGGGTGGTGGAGTAATATTGAATGGACCAACAAGACTTGCACTTGATTTTTATTGACTTGGAGAAGGCGTATGATAGGGTGCCTAGAGAGATTCTGTGGAAAGCTCTTGAGAAGAAAGCGGTTAGGATTGCATATATTCGAGTTATCCAAGATATGTGTCAAAAAGTATCGACTAGTGGTAGGACACAGGGTGGAGAGATAGACGATTTTCCCATCACAATTGGTTTGCATCAGAGGTCAACCCTAAACCCCTACCTTTTTACCTTAATTTTGAATGTACTCACGAAACAAATCTAAGAGATAGCGCCAAGATGCATGCTTTTTGTAGATGATATAGTCCTCCTTGAAGAATCGAGGGAGGAGTTAAATGAGAGGTTAGAAACCTGGAGAAGGGCTTTAAAAACACATGGCTTTCTCCTAAGCAGAAGTAAGTCGGGGTATATGAAATGTAAGTTCAACAAAAGAAGCATGGTTTCTAACTTAGAGGTGAATGTAGGAGACCTTATTATCCCTCAAGTCACACCGTTTAAATATCTTGGTCCGTATTACAAAATGATGGAGAAATAGAAGGGGATGTAAATCATCGTATTCAACCCAGATGGATGAAATGGAGAAAGGCATCAGGTATTTTTTATGTGATACAAAGGTACCGCTCAAGTTAAAGGGAAAGTTTTATCGAACTGCGGTAAGACCTGCGATTTTGTACATAATAGAATGTTGGGCAGTTAAGAATCAACACGAGAATAAAGTAGGTGTAGTGGAGATGAGGATGTTGCGGATGATGTGTGGTAAGACTCGACAGGATAAAATTAAAAATGAAATTATTAGAGAAAGTGTTGGAGTAGCGCATATTATAGAGAAGATGGTGGAAAATAGACTTAGGTGGTTTGGGTATGTAGAGAGAAGACATGTAGACTCTGTAGTAAGGAGAGTAGATCAGATAGAGAGAAGACAAACAATTCGAGGAAGAGGAAGACCCAAAAAGACTATAAGAGAAGTTATCAAGAAGGATCTCAAAATTAATGATTTGGATAAAAACATGATCATTGATAGAACATTATGACAATAGTTGATCTATATAGTCACTCCACCTAGTAGAATCAGGCATAGTTGTTGTTGTATTCTTTAAATAAAAGAGATTAATTTTTGTTTGGATTTAGTCAATCAATTTTGAAATGATTAAAATTTATGCAAATTAACTCTTGAAATGATTTGCAATTTGATTCCATATTTTACTATAAAAATATATATAGTTTTTACTTAGTTAATTATCCCATTAGATATAAATTTAATCTCAATCCAAAAAAGATTGTGACCAAATAGTAGAAAAAATTAAAAATATTATAATCTTATTAATTGTGTTTTCTTTTTAACAATTTTAAGAAAAAATCATTTTCAAAGATTAAAAAGTAAAGGTTAGGTTAAAATTATAAAATTATGGTAGTCACAAAATTAAAAAGTTCCATTAAAAAAAAACAGATAACTATTTTTGTTAACATAATAAAATAAAATGATCAAAAATACAATTAAATTAAAATAAATGTTTTACTGTTTTTAAAATTACAACATATTTAACTTATATTTAGTAATTTCTTTATCACAAACAACCGATCTTACACTCTTTTTGGTAGTATTGTTAGATTCATTTGAGTGTGTAAAAGAATAAAAAATAGATTAAGAAACTATCTTTAAAAAATTGCAAAAAAAAATATTAGATTGACATGCATTTTGAATTTTTGCTTTTTTTTTTATGTTGTTATTGAGATGACAAAATCATTAAAATAGATTTAGATGAAAAATATCTTTGATGGATCATTTCACTTCATGTTGTAAAAGAATTGAAATTTGAAGAAAACATTATCATGTCTATTTTTTTTGGTGAAAACCCAAAATAATAGTGGTGAAAAGAAGTGTAACAAAAAGGTCTTTTTTGTAAAGTCATTCATCCTAAGACTTTTCTCACCCAAATATACTTAAATGTGGAGTTAAAATCAAATCCAATATGAGCTCAAAATTTAACAAGTTTCAATTCCACATTAAGAGCCCTGCACAGTACTGCTTTTGATAAATTATATACTTATTTCCTTCAAAAATGTTCTTAAGACCAACCACCTTAAGAAGCTCTTCCGCTTTGATTCTGGCTTGTTGGATTCTGAAGAGAAGAATTTGGAGTTGCCACTAAACCCTTACTTTCTTCACCTAATTCTGATTTTGAATTATCCTTACCTAATTCTGATTTTGAATTATCCTTGCCTAATTCTGATTTTGAATTATCCTTGCCTAATTCTGACTTTGAATTATCCTTGCCACTAGTGTTCATTGGTGCAGAACTATTTAGGAGTTCTTTATCATCACCCGTTACCTGATTTGAGTCTATGTTACTGCGTGATTGCTTCTTCGTTGTTTCAACAGAAATCTCCTTTACAGTCTTTTCAAGTTTGTCAAGTCTCTCGTTCACCTCTAACAGCTGCAGATTTGCTTCATTTTCCTCGGGAGGATTTAGTTCCAATTCTTTTTCTATTTCCTTTGCTGCTTCTTCTACCTTTTTCTTCCGTTTCTGCTCCACGTCCTGTGAATTAATTCGGAAAAAGGTCGTTATCAAGAACAAAAATCAACACCAGAAGATGATTGTATTCTTTATCTGAGTATTCTAACACATACAAGGTCAAATAGGTATTCAAAAATTACCAAAGAAAATATAATCCAAAACACAACACATTCTTAATAAATGGCATTAATAGACAAGTGGAATCCCATATATCTCTAACAAAACTTATGTTGCACTAAAGTTACAAATCTAAAGGGTTCCGTAAACAGGACATACAAGGTCAAATAGGTATTCAAAAATTACCATCAAGAAAGAAAATATAATCCAAGACATAACACATTCTTAATAAATGGCATTAATAGAAAAGTGGAATCCCATATATCTCTAACAAAACTTATGTTGCACTAAAGTTACAAATCTAAAGGGTTCCGTAAACAGGACATTAAGATGGATCCCTGAACTGATATGATTCAACACAAAGAGACATAAGTGATAAGATGATCTAGATATCATATACAATTATGCATCAAATCGACATTTCTATAATGCACAAGAAAAACACTTATATTATTACTATTACAAAGTTTATATTTTTACTATTACAAAGAGAAACAAAACATACTGCTTCCATTGTTCTTATTTCATAACGAGCATACTGTGCCACCAAATATACCGCTGCACAGTAAAGGAAAAAATGTTTGTAGCTAGATGTTAGCAGTAGATTTTTTAGAAAATACCAAGAATAATAATAAGCTCAAGTTCAATGATTGGAGGACAACATCAAATATGTGATCATACCCAAGGAAGGCATGCAGGCAAAGAAAAATTGCACAAGATGAAAATCAAACCTGATCAAGAAAGACAGAGATGCAAAGTAAGAATTCATATTTATAATTTTGGTTATCTATAAGCATAAACATTGTAACCAAATATAGGATGGTTATTTAATCATAAATATTATATAAAAAAAATAGTTGAAGATTGTGGATGTAGTGAAGATGTTCGACAAAATGCAAGAGATTAGAAGGGGGATAAATACCCAAACTTTCTCTTCTTTGGGGGATCAGTGAAAAGAATCTTAATGGCAGTCATCATGTCGAGATTTTCGAGCTGCCGATACCTTTCATCAGTGATGATGTCCTTGTTGTTGATGTTGTTACCGTTCTTCGCCGAAGTACAAAAGAAACTTCTCTGAGCAGATTTGTTGCATAATGATGTTGTTGGAAAAAGTTTGGATTGCACAACGAAGTGCAACCACCTTGCTCTACTGCTAAACATCCTCCTTCACTCTACACGTGACCCAAAACGCATTGAGTTTCCTGTGCCACAATCTAACCCTAATGCGGCTACTTCTCCAGCCGCCATGTGTCTTGGAAATTTTCCACACAAACCTAATACTTTCCTTTCTGAACCCGGCCCAACAACAATTGTTTTATCCACCGGCCCAAATTCTCCTATTCCTAAATCAGGTGGAGGAAGCTAACAGAAACCATGCAAAGAGTACAAGGTTCTTAATGGGCCCATGAGTATTGATAAGAAGCTTAATAGGCCTATTAGAGAAAAGAAAACATCAGTTCGTCTTAAGGATTTTTATTATTAAGGGGGTGTATTTAGCAGTACTTTATTTTTTATTATTTTCAGAACTATTTTTTTATTATGCTGGCCCATGGCCCATCAGTAGGTTAAACCCTAGTTATTTATATTGTAACTCTTGTCATTGAGAAGGATAAGAAAAGAAAAAATTCATATACTATCCAATAACTATTTAGTATTTAATTTTACTCATCTAACCCTAAGTTTCTCTCCCCAACAATCTCTCAATCTCATATTTCGTTAATAAATTCTCAAATCGTGTCGCCTCTCATCTCCACCACTGAGTCCCGTCGGCGTAGCTCACGATAAGCACCATTTTGAGTCCCCCTCGATTGCCGCAAACCAACTACCACACCACAACACTGCGCCAGAGTTCATCTGTTGGTGTGTTCTCTTCTTATCATCCCTTTCAATTTCCCAGTTAGCTCTTAAGAAATCTATAGTTAAGAATGAATTCTAATATGTTTTGTTTTTGCTTTTCATTTCATATAATTTGAGGTTGATATTGTTAATTGATTGGTTGAATTGAAGGATTATCCAATTTCAATTTCCCTCATAAACCCTACGTGTGCATTATATGATCGAGTTTATAAAAATGTATATGCACGTATCTATCACTCTCTATGAAGCAGTGCTACAGACGCTACATTGACACGTTGACGCGGATAATAATTTGAAAAAAATGAATAAATTAAAGATAATCACAAGTGTTGGTGTGACAGTGTTGATGACATGGACTCACTTTTTTTCACTAACGCGACACTTTTTTTCCCCAAGGTGTTAGTGATACAAAGGTTAATGTTATATAATTACTATACAAAGTTTACTTCTCTTTATAACTTATTTGTGAGCTTTTGATGTGTGAAAATTCCATTTGTTGTTTGTTCAGCAATGTACTTATGTCATGGTCATGGTTTTGAAGTTGAAGTTAAAGAATAAGTTTCTATAATCATGTTAATTTGTATTGTATGATTTTTTTGATAAACCGGAAATGTATCGAATATTTGGATCAATTTACATGAATTTTATCCGCATTTTAATTAATTAAATTACTCTTTATTCGTATTATGCTGGTATTTTCTATGTTTTCAGGAATTTGATGTTTGTAAGGCATGTGCGAAAAAAGTCAAGAAAAGTCGAGCTAATCATATTTAAAATCCGCACAAAGAAAGAGAAATCATGCAATTGAGGGGTATGTGGCAAAATTGGGTGCATCACAAAGTAAAAAGCCTTGGAAGTCCAAAGAAGAAACAAGCGCTGGCCCATTCCACCCAAGGCCCAAGGGGTGTAACGACCGTTACACATTCCTTAGCCCAGTTGTAATGACCGTTACACCCTGCCACGCTAGCCCTTCCTCAAAAGCAGGGGGTGTAACAACTGTTACACCTTGCCACGCTATCCCTTCCTCAAAAGCAAGGGGTGTAACGACCGTTAGACCTTGCCATGCCAGCCCTCCCTCAAAAGAAGGAGTGTAACGACCGTTACACTGAGGCAAATCCGGAGGAGAAAACATCTCAACTCCATGCGCATCTCCAAGCCTATAAATAGGACCTCAAATTCTCATTTTTAAACGCGCTTTCTTTTCTCTGTTTTTACTGTTACTTTGCCGAATATTTTTCGTATTATTTTCTTTCCGCATTATTTTCTTTACCGATCTGTGGGAGACATCCGATATCAGACAAATATTTTGCTGTAATATTTTCAAGTTTAATTTAAGTACTTTATTTATTTATGCCAGGATTGCCTGCAATGTTTAGTTTATTTAAATTGCTAGATGGTAATTAGTTTTATTGCGCTGTTATTGAATCGTTTAATATGCTAGACTAAATTTATTTATCGGTATGTAAGGTCATATAGCCAACGGGGTTTAGCAACGCCAATTGATCAGTTCCTTTTAAAAACGAATAATTTTCTAGTTTCAATTACTAGTTCTAAATATTAACTGTTTTGTTACGAGAGTAAAATATAGATAGAAGTTAGGATCAATAAAATGAGAGTTTGAGATAATAACTGGACAGTGGTAATTGTGCATCAACTTAAAATACAGCGAGAGCGCTTTTAAGTTGATTAGGTTTTATTTGTTTCCAAAAACTATTTTTAAACTCTATTTGAAACAGCGAGAGCACGCACTTAGGTTTTATCGTAGGATCTGAATCAATAAACACAAGAGTGTGAGAAAAGGGTTTTCAAACGAATACTTCCTACTGAAAACTGTCTTGTTAATCCGAGTTAGGTCAATGAGTTGCTAAATCCACGAAGTCCGACCATTACATACCGATATTCTCCCTTGAATCTAAACTAGATTATAATTAGTTAGGTTCCCTAAACCCCTTATTAATTACATTATTAGCCTTAGATTTACGTAGTAACCTAAGATAATGGTAGTTCGACATTTAGTCCCTTAGGATTCGATAATCTTTAAAGCTACATGCGATAGGACTGTATACTTGCAGTCTAGATTCTTTAAGACTCACAAAATTGCGATCAAGTTTTTGCCGCTGTTGTCGGAGACTAACAAGTCGATATCGTAACTCTTTTAGTTTTGTTGTAGAGACTAAGGCACCATTCCCAATTGTATGCCAAGCACTCGCTCTAAAGGTGAAGGCTTAGTGCTACCAATTTCTGAACCTGAGCGCTCTATTACTAGAAGACGCCGAGTATGAGTGTCTCGTACAAATTAATCCATCTCTCAATCTTCTATTCCTACTGAACCAGTTGAAGGACTAAACATGGGTGATCAGCCACGTCCGCTCAAATCTTATGTTATTCCTTCGCATGAAGAACCATATAACAGCATTGATGCTCCTTCCGATTGAGGCTAATAACTTCGAAATCAAACCTTCATTGTTGTCTGATGTACAACAAAACCAATTTTATGGAGGATCAATGGACGACCCTAATCTACATTTATCAATGTTTCTGCAATACGCAGATACAATTAAGAATAATAGAGTCAGTCAAGAGGCGATAAGGCTTCGTCTTTTCCCTTTTTCCCTAAGAGATAGAGCCCGAGCCTGGCTCTAGTCTCTACCAGATAACTCGGTTACTTCTTGGGATGAGTTTAAGAAAGTCTTTCTTACAAGATATTTCCCACCAAGTAAGACAACTATGCTAAGATCCCAAATAAGCAATTTTTGACAAAAGGACAACGAGTCTCTTTTTGACGCTTGGGAAAGATACAAAGACATGATGAGGCTTTGTCTACATCATGGCCTAGAAGAATGGTTAATCATCCATACCTTCTACAATGGTCTCCTCTATCATACAAGACTAATGATAGACGCCGCTGCAGGTGGCGCACTTATGGATAAATCCTACGTTGCTGCTTATGCTCTCATAGAAAGTATGGCTCAAAACCACTATCAGTGGGGGAGTGAAAGAGGTCAAGCAGACAAAGCTCTCGTAGAGAAATCACCGACAAAAGGCTATATGTACGAGATTAGTAGTCTTGATAGCATCCATTCTAAGGTAGACACTCTCGTCCAGAAGATAGATAACTTAGCCGTAGTACCTCCAGCCACAGTGACTGCTATAACTCTGAATTGCGAGATATGCGGAGTACCTGGACATGTTGTTGCTGAATGTCAAATCTTAGAAGACCCCCCCCCCCCCCCCCCGACCAAGTACATTATGCTCAAGGAAACCCTTATTCGAACACTTACAACCCTGAATGGAAAAATCATCCAAATTTCTCATATAAGAACACCAATGCGTTGTATGCGCCTGACCAAGCACCAGCTGTACCACCAGGATATCAAAAAGCACCTGCAGTTGCTCCTAATATGCCTAGGAAGTCCAATCTCGAAATTCTAATGGAAAATTTTATAGCCACCCAAGCTCAAACTAACAAGGAATTTCTAAACCAAAATATTCACACTAGTGAACAAATCAAACAATTAGTAAACAAAGTAGATGCTTTAGCCACCCATAACAAAATGCTTGAAACCCAGATTTCGCAAGTGGCCCAACAACAAGCACTTACTGCTGCACCTGCTGGTACACTTCCAAGCCAACCTCAATCGAATCCAAAAGGACATGCTCATGTTATTATACTGCAAAGTGGAACTGAATACGATGGACCAATTGACCCTTGAGCTGAAAACCCAGCCATGTCCCAAAGTTCTAGAAAACACCTGAGGAGGAAAGAGAACCAAAAGAGAAGGAGAAGGTAGGTGATGGAGAGACAGAAGAAAAGAAAAAACCTTATGTGCCTCCGTCGCCTTACAAACCACCAATCTTGTATCCTCAAAGACTTACTCAATCTAGAAGTGCGGGGCAATTTAAGAAATTTGTTGAACTTCTGAAACAATTAAACATCACGATACCATTCACATAAGCTATTACTCAAATGCCCTTGTATGCTAAGTTTCTCAAAGAAATCTTGTCAAATAAGAAAAAGATAGAGGATAACGAGAGAATTACACTCACTGTTGAGTGTAACACAATCATTCAGAATAAAATGCCTCAGAAGCTGAAGGATCCTGGAAGTTTCTCTATACCCTGTAATATAAGTAAGTATGTCATAGACAAAGCTTTATGCGACTTAGGCGCTAGTATCAGCGTTATGCCCCTATCCATATCCAAAAATCTTGACATGGGAGAAGTAAGACCAACCAAGATGTCAATACAACTAGCAGACCGCTCTGTCAAATACCCCGTGGGAATTCTAGAAAACATTTCGGTAC